TCTACGGGTCTCCCAAAGGGAGTACTGATTTAGGTTAATTATGGCCCGATCTGGAAGTGGGGATGTTTGTGGGAGTCCGTGGGACCGTTGTAGGAACTGTGGATGGTCCCATTGAGCATATAACCCTTGGGGATGGTATCGGGGTACACAAAATGAACGGAAGAACATTCATGGCCGGATTGTCCTGTGTCGATCCTCAATGATCTCGAATTGGGCATCAGATCGGTCATGTTCCCCACTGATTATGAATAAATCGTTGATGAGACTTTTGGATTATGACAAACATGCTTGTTGAAGGTCCATGAGTGATGTCTTTAAATTTTAGATCGAAAGAGCCAGTGGAAGCCGGTTAAATTGACGTCGCAAAATGGATATAGACGCATTCGGAACTTGGGCACTATTTCGGGCTTTTGAGTACCGAAAATGGGTATTTGGTACCACATTTGGGATTCGGTCCTCTTTTGGCGTTTAGGTACGATATCGGGGATATTAGCGCTATCTTTGGAGTACAGGTCATGAGATTTCGACACGTGTTCAAGGGGGCGGTCAAGCTTAAAGGTGATATCGACTTGGAGAGTGACCTATAGTTGGGAATAGGCTTGAAGATAGGTCGGCTATTAAAAATGGTTGGTCAATAAACAGACTTGAACTCTACTTCTTCTGCTCACGACGCACGTTCTCCTCCCCTCTTCTCCGGGCAAGATTGATTTGGCTTCCCCGGCGGGTCAAGGCACGCGTGTTACAAGGACACAGAAGACCGATCTTGATTTGTTGGCCAAGATCGGGAAGAGCGATCTCGGGAAGTTTGGCCCGGATCGATCAAGTACTCACTCTCAACTCAACTACTAGGGTAGCAGCAACAAAGGAAAAGGATTTTGGAAACGAGATTGCGAGACGGCGCAAGTGGTCAGAAGATCTGGACAAGGCGCTCAAGACAAGACCGAGCAAGATCGAAGCGATCCACTGTACAGATCGGCGTGTTTCATTTTAGCAAACCAAGGACCGATCTGCCCAAATTGCGCACTTCCAGCAAGATCGGCCGATCCCAAGACCAGATCGGACCGATCCCAAGGCAAGATCGACGCAAGACTACTATTTGCTGAGTGAAGATATCCGCACAGCAAAGACCCCAATCCCGTAGACAAATCGAGATCGGTGCGATTTTAAGATCGAGATTGCGACATCTTTAACTAGAGATCGCCGCGACTCGAGATCAAGATCGCAGAACCCCTGTTCGTGGTGTGAAGATTTCCGCACCGGAAGCGAACGCTCAACCCAACCTCTCAGCGAGATCGACATCTCCCAAGGCCGTTACGAAGAGCTCAAGCCAGCTTAACCGACGGGTACAAAAGGTGAGCACAAGATCATACAGCAAGGAACGGATTGGAGTACCCCCTCCGTGAGTCGGCAAGTCTGGGCAAGTGGTAGATCGACACTCACTAAAGTAATTTTGTGAGATCGGCTTCACCACATGTTTATCACATCTGTTGAGACCAGCACGAGAATTCGCGCCGAGTTATTTCGATGACGTATTCATCCATAGTCGAGCTATGGATGGAAAGTCGGACGTTGAGGTTCACAAGTACCACGTCCGACAAGTTCTTACAATCATGCGAAAGCATCAATTGTATGCTAACCTCAAGAAGTGTATATTTGCAGCAAGCGAAATACCACTTCTTGGATGCATCGTTGGTAAGAACGGTGGCTCCGTCCTGATCCCGAAAGGTCAAGGCAATCACCGACTGGCCTGTGCCAGTTGATGTAAAAGGTCTTCGAAAATTTCTTGGGGCTAGCGGCGTATTTGCGTAAGTATTCACGTAATTACGCCGAGATGACTGTACACCTCTCTCGTTTGTTGAAAAAGAACGATAGGTGGATATGGAACGCTGAATGTCAGCGCTCCTTTGATAGTGGTCTGAAGCCGAGCCTGATACAATCCCCAGTCCTAGCAATTGCCGATCAGGACAGAGCCATTTCAGTGTGGTCTGTGATGCCAGCGATTTCGCAATCGGCTGTGCATTAATGCAGTACGATCTTGGAGGCGTTGAACGCGTCATCTGCTATCAGTCGCGTCAGCTGCAACCAGCTGAGCGGAACTATCCAGTGCATGACAAGGAACTCCTTGCCATGAAGTATGCACTCGCGAAGTTCAGAGTCTATCTATTGGGAGATAGACCCTTCGTTGTTTACACTGACCATGCGTCCTTACGCACGGCAGTGAACAGCCCGCACCTTTCACAACGAATGGCGCGGTGGTTGTCATTCTTTGCAGAATACAACTTTACGGTCGAGTACAAACCAGGACGACTTAATGTCGTCGCTGATGCACTCTCACGTCGTCCCGACTTTGAAACAGTCGCGAAACCCAACAGTGAGACAGTCACTGTTGCGGTTATGACGTCCTCAGTTCCATCTACAACGTTGTATGATGATGTGAGGCGGGCATACGCCCAAGATGGTGAGATAGTGAAGTTGTTGTCACATCTCTCCCAACCATCTCCTCGAGAATCGTTGAAACGATTGTCGTCTGCGTATCGATCTGCATCAGATCGATACACTACTCGTAACGGTTTACTGTACTATACAGCCGTTTCTGGTGACACACCACGTGTTGTCATTCCAGATGATACTGATCTGCGTTTGCGGATCATGTTCGAGTATCACGATGCTCCTATAGGAGGACATCGTGGCCGAGAGAAAACATATCTCACGGTAAGTCGAGACTTTTACTGGCCCCGCCAGTATCAGTTTGTGCGAAAGTATGTTCGCGCATGCGAAGTCTGCCAACGAGTGAAGTCAAGTCCTTCACTGCGTGCACCTTTACAGCCTCTACCGGTTCCGGCTGAGTGCTGGGAATCCATCTCAATGGGATTTCGTCTTCGGGTTACCCAAAGACGCACGCGGAATACGGGTATTCTCGTATTTGTTGACAGATTCAGCAAAATGGTACCTTGTGGCTGTACCAGAGACAATCACGGCAAGTGGCTGTGCTTGTGTCTTTATTGACACCATCTTCCGACTTCATGGGTTGCCCCGTGAACTCGTATCAGACAGAGATCCACGATTCACTGCTGATTTCTGGCGTTCCGTGTTCAAATCACTCGGAACGCGCTTGAAGATGTCAACATCTGATCATCCAGAGTCAGATGGTCAGACGGAACGTGCCAATCGTGTCCTTGAAGAGATACTTCGAGGATACGTACACTCCTTTAAGAGTTGGAGTGAGTTTTTGCCGATGGTAGAGTTTGCCATCAACAACTCGGTGCATGCGTCCACGACATACACCGTTTTACGTGAATGGCTTGCGCCATCCGCGTGTACCCACCTTACTAGAGTGTAACTCTGGTTTAAGGGGGGAGGGACTCGCGCGAGCAAAAACCGATTTGGTTCACGCTCATCACGCTCTGACGAAGAAGTCATTGCGTTTGATGCCGATATCGATAACATCGATATCGAAGAAGATGATGCCAGTGAGTGCGGAAGCCCTCACTGAAGACAATGATCCCAGTGAGAGTGCGGAAGCCCTCACTGAAGAAAAGGTTGTTGTCGCTGCAGTGCGCTCACAGCACACTGAAGCTAACGAGTCATCAGATGAGTTCATACTGGCTCGTGAAACGGTAGTCCGTTTTGTGCAAGACTCCATCGCCGAAGCGGTGGATAAGCAAAAGCAAAACGCTGACAAGAATGGAAGGGCAAACACTCTTTTATTTAATAAAGGTGAATTAGTCCTACTGTCTACGGTTAATCTACCAAAACATGTAGTGACTAACTTGGGTAGCAGTAAACTACTACCCAAGTACATCGGCCCATTTCGTGTATTGCACCGCCTAGGCAATGCATACACGATCGAGTTACCACGTAAGATGCGAACGCATCCCACGTTTTACGTTGGTCGGCTTAAGCCGTACCATCAGTACGCTGCTTCTTCCGATGAAGAACGCCCTTGCGCTCAAGCATCTCGCAGAGAGCCTTGTGCTCCCGATGGTGGGCATCAACAAGGGTCTGAAGAGCAGTTATCTCAGCCCGAGACCGATCAACAATCCCACGAGCTACCCTTAGCTCGTCACGAAGAGATGTCAGAGATCTCTCGTTCTCAAGCTGAGCAAAGGCAAACTCAGCTCGATGCTTCGAGGCAGTGTCCACCATCTGGAGACGCCTATTCCGCTCATGCTCGAGATCGTCGCGTAACCCTTGCGTTACGCGATCAAAAGCTCTCGGGAAACACCGATCCACATGATCGTGTGGAGAGCGTCTTTTCCTCCTCCTCCACCTCCATTAGAGGACTCTCGCGGTGGCCAGCGCTATCTAGTTGAGCAGCTGTTGAACCACCGCGACGTGAACGGACGTCGGACGAGTTACCTCGTCCGGTGGCGCGGCTATCCCCCGTCCTGGGATTCTTGGGAGCCCCGCTCCCAATTGATGGTTGACGTACTGGGTCTGGTCGAGCAGTACGACGCGACACATCCTGTGCCGCAGAAGGACCGCCGGAGAAAGTCTTCCCGGCACGGTCGTAAAGGGATTTCAGGTTGTCAATCCCTTCGTACATCTCAGTAGAGACACGTACGCGCCACCACGGGCTGGTAAGGAGGTAAGCCTCCTTAGGTGCTCGTGCAGAGTTGTTCACACAACATGGGCACGAGTCTCCCCAAGAGAGGCAGGGTAATCCTTTCTCCCTTGACAGACGATGCAGCTTATAGCGTGCACCTGTCGGGGTTCGCTTTTCAAACTTATCACGAGCTTTGATAAGTTTGTCGTTCCAAGCGTCACGACCTACATCCTCGAGATTATGGATGTAGGCGTTCCACGCCTGAAGTAGTGAGGGACCATCACGTTTGTGATTCCCACTGTACCATCGATGTCTGAAGAAAGCATCGATGAAGAACTCATGTTCAGCGCGATAGTCTTTCGCGCTGGGGTCAAGGTGATGAATCCTTGACGAATCGAACAATCGTGTTCGATAACGATCACTCGTCGTCGCCGACAAGTGATCCATGACGGATTTAAGAGGCATCCATGCCTTCCTTTTCTGGAGCGAGACGCAACACATTGCGGTCCCGCTCTTCCTGCGACGTGCCGACAGAAGTACTGGCACCTCGCTGTGAAGTGGTGTCCATTGGAGAAACGACACCACTATTAGCGCCCGAGTCTCGCGACCTCGAGCGCCTTCGCTTCGGCGATGGTTCATCTGACTCATCAGATGAACCAAAGATGCTGCGACGCAAAGCATCGTCCATGCCACGCTTGGCAGGCGGCTTGGATTCAATTGCCGTCGATACGGATCCGTCATCCGTATCAGGAGAGTACGAGACACCGATCTCGTACTCTGTGAAGACACGAGTGTCTTCATGACCAGCGCCTGCATGACCAGGTGATACAGGCTGAGGTCGATTCAGCAACCGATGGGACATCAGTTGCTGTAGTTTCTGCTTCGGCGTCCGCACAGAGACGTGCAGACGCGCTCTCGGCGGCCTTGCTCGCGCATCGCATGGGCTTGTTTACCATGCGATGAGATGTTGGAAAGTGGACGCGGACCAACAAGTGCAAACCCCGTCCCAAATGATTTGGGACGAGTATCCATTTAGTCAATCAGTCACTAAAGTGACTGATGGTTAAGGGGGTGATGTAACGGGGTGAATCGTTACATAACAATTTATAAGAAATTGTTAATAGAATATAACTATAAGAGTTATATTCTCAGAATATTGTCATAAGAACAATATTCTGTAGCACTTCAAGTAGTTCCTAATTGGTTGATATAGGCCATTATATCAACCAACGAAGACGCGCCACGACAGACGCACGCAATGAGTGGTGAGCAGATAGTTGATATACACATTTGTATTTAGACATAGTTAGATGAAGATAAATAGTGATTTATTGCAGACATTAACTATTATAAATACAGTTCTACTTTTTACTCTAACCGAGTACTCGCTTCTTCTTACCGTCTTCCTCTGCACGTACGAGTGTACGTGAAGTTACGAGGCACCGCCTTATTCTGTCATCAGAATAAGTAGCTTGTACTGTCACCAGTACAAGCTTCAGGGTGCCTCCGTTACATATCAAGTGATGTCGAGTAATGTCCAGTGATGTTTATGGCGTCCAGTGATATAGAGCGGCGTCGAGTGGTTTCAAGTAATGTCGAGTGTCCTGCTTAACGATTGTGTGCTATGTCCGTGTGGATCTATTGCAGTGCGAGGAGTTTGTTTGACTGACTAGGACGTAATATAAAGACAAGTGTAATACATGCGTTATGTATATTTAGAAATTAGTACTGGTCTTAAAAGCATTAATCATTATTATATAATTTTAGTTCACTACCTCATACTGTAACGGGGCACCCTGAAGCTTGTACTGGTGACAGTACAAGCTACTTATTCTGATAACAGAATAAGGCGGTGCCTCGTAACTTCACGTACACTCGTACGTGCAGAGGAAGACGGTAAGAAGAAGCGAGTACTTGGTTAGAGTAAAAAGTAGAACTGTATTTATAATAGTTAATGTCTGCAATAAATCACTATTTATCTTCATCTAACTATGTCTAAATACAAATGTGTAAATCAGTTATCTGCTCACCACTCATTGCGTGCGTCTGTCGTGGCGCGTCTTCGTTGGTTGATATAATGGCCTATATCAACCAATTAGGAACTACTTGGAAGTGCTACAGAATATTGTCCTTATGACAATATTCTGAGAATATAACTCTTATAGTTATATTCTATTAACAATTTCTTATAAATTGTTATGTAACGATTCACCCCGTTACATCACCCCCCCCTTAACCATCAGTCACTTTAGTGACTGATTGACTAAATGGATATTCGTCCCAAATCATTTGGGACGGGGTTTGCACTTGTTGGTCCGCGTCCACTTTCCAACATCTCATCGCATGATAAACAAGCCCATGCGATGCGCGAGCAAGGCCGCCGAGAGCGCGTCTGCACGTCTCTGTGCGGACGCCGAAGCAGAAACAACAGCAACTGATGTCCCATCGGTTGCTGAAGAGACCCAGCCTGTGTCACTTGGTGACGCAGGCGCTGGTCATGAAGACACTCGTGTTCTTCACAGAGTACGAGCTCGGTGTCTCGTACTCTCCTGATACGGATGACGGATCCGTATCGACGGCGATTGAATCTAAGCCGCCTGCCAAGCGTGGCATGGACGATGCTTTGCGTCGCAGCATCTTTGGTTCATCTGATGAGTCAGATGAACCATCGCCGAAGCGAAGGCGCTCGAGGTCGCGAGACTCGGGCGCTAATAGTGGTGTCGGTTCTCCTATGGACACCACTTCACAGCGAGGTGCCAGTACTTCTGTCGGCACGTCGCAGGAAGAGCGGGACCGCAATGTGTTGCGTCTCGCTCCAGAAAAGAAGGCATGGATGCCTCCTAAATCCGTCATGGATCACTTGTCGGCGACGACGAGTGATCGTTATCGAACACGATTGTTCGATTCGTCAAGGATCCATCACCTTGACCCCAGCGCGAAAGACTATCGCGCTGAACATGAGTTCTTCATCGATGCTTTCTTCAGACATCGATGGTACAGTGGGAATCACAAACGTGATGGTCCCTCACTACTTCAGGCGTGGAACGCCTACATCCATAATCTCGAGGATGTAGGTCGTGACGCTTGGAACGACAAACTTATCAAAGCTCGTGATAAGTTTGAAAAGCGAACCCCGACAGGTGCACGCTACAAGCTGCATCGTCTGTCAAGGGAGAAAGGATTACCCTGCCTCTCTTGGGGAGACTCGTGCCCATGTTGTGTGAACAACTCTGCACGAGCACCTAAGGAGGCTTACCTCCTTACCAGCCCGTGGTGGCGCGTACGTGTCTCTACTGAGATGTACGAAGGGATTGACAACCTGAAATCCCTTTACGACCGTGCCGGGAAGACTTTCTCCGGCGGTCCTTCTGCGGCACAGGATGTGTCGCGTCGTACTGCTCGACCAGACCCAGTACGTCGATCATCAGTTGGGAGCGGGGCTCCCAAGAATCCCAGGACGGGGGATAGCCGCGCCACCGGACGAGGTAACTCGTCCGACGTCCGTTCACGTCGCGGTGGTTCAACAGCTGCTCTACTAGATAGCGCTGGCCACCGCGAGAGTCCTCTAATGGAGGTGGAGGAGGAGGAAAGACGCTCTCCACACGATCATGTGGATCGGTGTGTTCCCGAGAGCTTCTTTGATCGCGTAACGCAAGGGTTACGCGACGATCTCGAGCATGAGCGGAATAGGCGTCTCCAGATGGTGGACACTGCCTCGAAGCATCGAGCTGAGTTTGCCTTTGCTCAGCTTGAGAACGAGAGATCTCTGACATCTCTTCGTGACGAGCTAAGGGTAGCTCGTGGGATTGTTGATCGGTCTCGGGCTGAGATAACTGCTCTTCAGACCCTTGTTGATGCCCACCATCGGGAGCACAAGGCTCTCTGCGAGATGCTTGAGCGCAAGGGCGTTCTTCATCGGAAGAAGCAGCGTACTGATGGTACGGCTTAAGCCGACCAACGTAAAACGTGGGATGCGTTCGCATCTTACGTGGTAACTCGATCGTGTATGCATTGCCTAGGCGGTGCAATACACGAAATGGGCCAATGTACTTGGGTAGTAGTTTACTGCTACCCAAGTTAGTCACTACATGTTTTGGTAGATTAACCGTAGACAGTAGGACTAAGTCACCTTTATTAAATAAAAGAGTGTTTGCCCTTCCATTCTTGTCAGCGTTTTGCTTTTGCTTATCCACCGCTTCGGCGATGGAGTCTTGCACAAAACGGACTACCGTTTCACGAGCCAGTATGAACTCATCTGATGACTCGTTAGCTTCAGTGTGCTGTGAGCGCACTGCAGCGACAACAACCTTTTCTTCAGTGAGGGCTTCCGCACTCTCACTGGGATCATTGTCTTCAGTGAGGGCTTCCGCACTCTCACTGGCATCATCTTCTTCGATATCGATGTTATCGATATCGGCATCAAACGCAATGACTTCTTCGTCAGAGCGTGATGAGCGTGAACCAAATCGGTTTTTGCTCGCGCGAGTCCCTCCCCCCTTAAACCAGAGTTACACTCTAGTAAGGTGGGTACACGCGGATGGCGCAAGCCATTCACGTAAAACGGTGTATGTGTCGTGGACGCATGCACCGAGTTGTTGATGGCAAACTCTACCATTGGCAAAAACTCACTCCAACTCTTAAAGGAGTGTACGTATCCTCGAAGTATCTCTTCAAGGACACGATTGGCACGTTCCGTCTGACCATCTGACTCTGGATGATCAGATGTTGACATCTTCAAGCGCGTTCCGAGTGATTTGAACACGGAACGCCAGAAATCAGCAGTGAATCGTGGATCTCTGTCTGATACGAGTTCACGGGGCAACCCATGAAGTCGGAAGATGGTGTCAATAAAGACACAAGCACAGCCACTTGCCGTGATTGTCTCTGGTACAGCCACAAGGTGTACCATTTTGCTGAATCTGTCAACAAATACGAGAATACCCGTATTCCCGCGTGCGTCTTTGGGTAACCCGAAGACGAAATCCATTGAGATGGATTCCCAGCACTCAGCCGGAACCGGTAGAGGCTGTAAAGGTGCACGCAGTGAAGGACTTGACTTCACTCGTTGGCAGACTTCGCATGCGCGAACATACTTTCGCACAAACTGATACTGGCGGGGCCAGTAAAAGTCTCGACTTACCGTGAGATATGTTTTCTCTCGGCCACGATGTCCTCCTATAGGAGCATCGTGATACTCGAACATGATCCGCAAACGCAGATCAGTATCATCTGGAATGACAACACGTGGTGTGTCACCAGAAACGGCTGTATAGTACAGTAAACCGTTACGAGTAGTGTATCGATCTGATGCAGATCGATACGCAGACGACAATCGTTTCAACGATTCTCGAGATGGTTGGGAGAGATGTGACAACAACTTCACTATCTCACCATCTTGGGCGTATGCCCGCCTCACATCATCATACAACGTTGTAGATGGAACTGAGGACGTCATAACCGCAACAGTGACTGTCTCACTGTTGGGTTTCGCGACTGTTTCAAAGTCGGGACGACGTGAGAGTGCATCAGCGACGACATTAAGTCGTCCTGGTTTGTACTCGACCGTAAAGTTGTATTCTGCAAAGAATGACAACCACCGCGCCATTCGTTGTGAAAGGTGCGGGCTGTTCACTGCCGTGCGTAAGGACGCATGGTCAGTGTAAACAACGAAGGGTCTATCTCCTAATAGATAGACTCTGAACTTCGCGAGTGCATACTTCATGGCAAGGAGTTCCTTGTCATGCACTGGATAGTTCCGCTCAGCTGGTTGCAGCTGACGCGACTGATAGCAGACGACGCGTTCAACGCCTTCAAGGTCGTACTGCATTAATGCACAGCCGATTGCGAAATCGCTGGCATCACAGACCACATGAAATGGCCTGTCCTGATCGGCTATTGCTAGGACTGGGGATTGTATCAAGCTCTGCTTGATACCCTCAAAGGAGCGTTGACATTCAGCGTTCCATAACCACCTCTCGTTCTTTTTCAACAAACGAGAGAGGTGCACAGTCATCTCGGCGTAATTGCGTGAATACTTATGCAAATACGCCGCTAGCCCAAGGAATTTTCGAAGACCTTTGACATCAACCGGCACAGGCCAGTCGGTGATCGCCCTGATCTTTTCGGATCAGGACGTACACCGTTCTTACCAACGATGCACCCAAGAAGTGGTATTTCGCTTGCTGCAAATATACACTTCTTGAGGTTAGCATACAATTGATGCTTTCGCATGATGGTAAGAACTTGTCAGACGTGGTATCTGAGAACCTCAACTTCCGACTTTCCATCCATATCCCGACTATGGATGAATACGTCATCGAAATAACTCGGCGCGAATTCTCGTACTGGCCTCAACAGATGTGATACACACCTGTTGAACGTGGCAGGGGCATTACTGAGCCCTTGTGGCATTACTAGCCATTCCCAGAGCATGCCGCTAGGCGTGCTAACTGCGGTATAGGGTATATCCCGTTCCCGCATTAGGATTTGATAGAAGCCATCCATCAAATTCATGGACGAAAAGATGGTACTCTTTGACATACCATCAATGATTACGTCCTTCCTCGGTATCGGCGTCTGAGCCGGTACCGTTGCAGCGTTCAATTTGTTAAACGCGTGCACTATCCGCCACCCTCCTGTTGCTTTTCGCACACAGAAGGTCGGAGAGCTATGTGGGGAAGTTGATTCCCTCACATGGCCCGCTGCTAAACGATCGGCAAAGAACTTGTCGATCGCAAGTACTTGTTCACGAGGCAGTGGCCACTGCTTCATGACACAGTACTTCGAGCCTGGTTTAAGCTCGACTTCGTGTCGAATACCTTTATCCTTCGGTAATTCGCACGGAACAGTTTCAGGGAATACATCCTTGAATTCAACCAAATCTTCATAGAGAGGATTTTCCTTGAGCGATTCCCATGATTGGGACTCATATCGCTCAATTCGTGTCTTTTCATCTAGGACACTCTCGTCCATAGATGAACTACTGAGAACTCTCTCGTTCTCAGTAAACACTGTTGCTGACCTTATGTCGGTTACATACTCGTCTTCAGCGACGAGTATGCAGATCTGCTTGACTTTGCCACTACGCAGATCACGCAAGAACCTTTTATGTTCGAGCGTTGGCAACTGAGTGATCTCCGAAGTTAACTTCGGAGGCGCAATCAGATCAAGTGTATAAGCGCCTACACATGATCCGTTATTGACTATGACATTCAATGTCTCTGTCATTTCCTGGGGACTTATTCCCTCAGGCTTCGAAGGACTTATTCCTTCGTCTTCCCGGGGACTTATTCCCGCGGGTTTCGGGGAACTTATTTCCGCCGTATTTGTAATATCGGGACTTATTCCCTTTACTTCCTCTAGCTGGGGTTGCGCAACCACAGCGAGATCCTCTACGAAAGACTCTCCAGTCGATCTAGGATTATCGTTTCGCTTAACCTGAGCGATCGATTGTTTCTCTTCTAGATGTTCCCCTCTAGGGATACATCTTTGTCCCAGTCCACCCGACTTATTCGAGTGGTGGACCTTCGGCGCAGCCTGTGTTTCCTCACAGCCGCCGGAACTTTGCTCCGAAGTGTAACCGTTTGGTACACTAAGGTTTTGTGCAGTCGTACTAACGACCGTACCACAAGTGAGGCCATCGCACTCACTCGTAGTACATCCACACGCTTGTGGACGCTCCAAAACGTTCATCAGATGGCCATCTGATGAACAAGCGGCAGGCATCGTTACTGTCCGATGTTGCCAGTTTACCCGTGGTTCGTACCTTCTGAGCCACGGTATTCCAAGGATGACATCAAATTTGTCATCCAAATCCAATACGATAAAGTCATCGTCGTATTGGGTATCTTCTAGCGTATAGTGAATCTTCACTATACGCTTCATGACGGTTACGGATGCGCCTGTCGCAAGACGTACCGTCATCCTCGTAGGAGGTGTGTCACATTCACTGAATTTAAAGTGACCATCTTCTAGCGATTGGCGTCGCACAAAATTGTTGGACGCCCCACAATCGACTAGAGCTCGAAGGGACAACTTATTCGTCACTTCGAGTTTCAAGGTAATGAGTGAGATCTCATTACCTAGAGCAGCAACGCACAATGTCTGTGTGTTGGGAGCAACCTTCATCAAGAGGCCTACAAATTCTCTTGACGTTGCTGGATCAGTAGGGTGCTCCGCACCTACTGATCCTGTCCGTTTTTTGACGGTCCATCCCGTTGTTGCGTCTTTGCACCAACTGCGGACCCTCGTCCCTGCCCCTTTCTCATGGGTGGACGGTCACTACGCCCAGTGTCGCGAGACACTGGACGAGGGGCACTACACTCGTAAGCGTAGTGTCCTGTCTTTTGACATCTGTTGCATCTCTGCAACTTCTTGTAGCCTGTAGAGCGAGCCTTCTCGCTCTCTACATAACAGAGTTCCATCGGCTCTGGACCTCCGTTGTCATATCGTCTCGGTTGACGATATGATGTCGAGCTGGCGCGAGCCTGTCTCAGACTGAAGTCTTCCTGCTCCGCAATTGAAATGGCTTGTTCTAGTGAATCTAGTTCAAGCCGGAACAGGTGAGTCTTGACGGGACCATCCGCAAGACCCTGCATGAACACCGAAACCAACGTGTGTTCATCCACCGGATTGGAACTTATACAACTCGTGAGATGTCGTATATGTTGAGCGTAAGCGTGCACATCACGCTTACCCTGCTTGAGCTTCAAGAGTTAAGTTCGAGCTCTGAACTCAGCTCTAGGCGGTTCAAACGTTTGTCTGAGCCGCGACTTGAAGACTTCCAACGACCCAAACGCGTATGGGTCGTGCAGCTTGAGCCCCAGTGCCCAAGTCTTGGCACGTCCTGCCAGATTTGACTGGGCAAATGCAACTTGCATATCCCCGTCGTCGATGCGACGCGCCCTTATGGCGTCATCCAATTCGACGAACCATCTCAAGAGGGAGTCTTCTTCGACCCCCTATACTTTGAGATGTCAATCTTCAAAGTCTCGGGTCGACGCGAGTGCATCGACCCGCCAGCAGCAGCTTGCTGCTGTCTCAACAGTTCAAACTGTTGAGCACCTTGTTCTCTCAACAACTCTGCTTGTTGAGAACCTTGTTGGTGAAGCAAGGCTACTTTCTCGCGTTCTGCGTCAAGTTCATTTTGAATGAACTTGGCGATAGTAGCATGTTGGGCATCTCTATTGAGAGCCTCTAGCATGACGCTAACAGCATGGATGCCCATGGTCGAACCCATTCGTTCAACCGCATCCCATTCGACATCGCTCAAATGGGAGTAGCCGTCACGCGTAGCGTGAAAGCTTTGGTCATCTTCATCATCCAACATATTCATGTTGGATGTGAACGCGGTCCTTGGACGGACTACAAAGTGCTACCAGGTGTAACGGGGCACCCTGAAGCTTGTACTGGTGACAGTACAAGCTACTTATTCTGATAACAGAATAAGGCGGTGCCTCGTAACTTCACGTACACTCGTACGTGCAGAGGAAGACGGTAAGAAGAAGCGAGTACTTGGTTAGAGTAAAAAGTAGAACTGTATTTATAATAGTTAATGTCTGCAATAAACCACTATTTATCTTCATCTAACTATGTCTAAATACAAATGTGTAAATCAGTTATCTGCTCACCACTCATTGCGTGCGTCTGTCGTGGCGCGTCTTCGTTGGTTGATATAATGGCCTATATCAACCAATTAGGAACTACTTGGAAGTGCTACAGAATATTGTCCTTATGACAATATTCTGAGAATATAACTCTTATAGTTATATTCTATTAACAATTTCTTATAAATTGTTATGTAACGATTCACCCCGTTACACATACTGTTTAATTTGAATGCTTAGTTGAGCGTTTAAGCGTAAGCGCAAGAAGTGGACTGAAAGAAGTCTTTGAGATGCCTCGAGTGACTGCAGCAATCGAAATTGACACCAATTACGGCACTAATGACCTGACCCATTGTAAAACCTTTCGAACTGGCGTTGCTGCAATCGCGTACATAAAGAATTACTGTTTTAATTAAAATCGACAGTGCAAGGTGTAATAACGGAGTCCCCCGGTCACGAGCTCGTCGGGCGTGCGACCGGGCCTGGCTCGCACGCAATGTGCCCAAATCAAAATGGGCACATCGGCTCGTGGGCGCAAATTGAGAAGAAAACGAACCGTTGGTAAGATAGAGCGTTTTTTTACCACTCGCGACAGTTGTCTGAAAATTGGATAGACTCATTAGTGATCAGGCAGTTTCTTATCCCATGTTGCAGTTGAGTATAATGTGGCTGACATTAAGTATCTATTAATTTTAGACTTGTTTAAACTATAGTCCTGCTTTTGGGACTTTTGGACATTTGTGGTCCTGATAATGAGATTTGCTCTTGTTTTTTTCCGCAGCAAAACCGTGTCACGAGCAAAAAACTGGTGTGATGGACCTGCGGGCACGAGCAGCGACGTGATCTATTACTATAACCACCATTTCATTGATCACCGGTTTCTACTGCTATTTCCTTCATCTACCCAGCCTTTTAATAGAAAAGATGACCCTCATCCCATTTTAATCAGGAATATAACAAGCGAAAGCGACACTATTACCGTTACTTTCCTTTGCAATAAATGAACGAGTGCTACTCGTCAGCATCGTTTCAGGTCTGAAACAGCCATGTCGCTGCCCTCGCACCTCAGCTTCTTAGATACCCAATCAGCAGAGCGTACAGCCGCTTGACTCTCGTTTGTCCCGCATTTTCTGTACACAATATAGCAGCAACATTAGGCCCAGGGTAGACGCGAAAGGCGAAGAGACAGTCGATACGCACCTTTCTTTTCATCAGCACACCAGCCAACAAAGGCTCGGGTCTACGAGACAGGATGCAAAGACCACACAATGAGGCAGGGGATGGAGGGGGTGTCCACTCACGCAAGGTAAGCAGCTTGTCAATCTCGACAAAAATGTCTTCGTCTGGTTCTGTCAACACAAACCACCATTCAGTGATACGATAACAAGTACACAGCGTCACCGCTACACACCTGTGCAGGAGGCATCACCAACTATCTGCAAGGCCTTTCCGTCTCGAAGGCGTCGTAGTCCCTATTGCATACTCCAGATGTCAGCTAAGCTAAGAAATTTGCCAAAGCTCGCGATGGTCATGTCGTACGTACGTCTACCCAGTACACAGCTGCTCGATGTGTCACCGCGCGCAATGTAATTGTCGTGCCGTTCACACCAAGCCGCAATAACCTGGTGTTCTCTTTATCGACAATGCACATACGTGTAAGAACATTGCAACCAACTTCGAAGAGAGTTGAGAGAAGGACTGGATGACTCACCGTCCGCCCCGTCACCCTCTAGCGCAATCTCAGACGCACTGCGGATGTCCGTAGACATGATGAGCACCTGATGCGTGGACTGTACAGCATCCACTCAGATACTTCTCAATATGTTTTATCTACAGCAGCAGAAGATGTATGACACGTACGTAAACGCGGTAGAGCATCAGCTGGTGACCACTAGTCTGGAACAGGAACGGTCGCCACGTCCCGTTGATCTTTCGGTAGTCAAGGAACCCCGACAAGCCTTGCATTTCGTCATGTTGGACCTTGCTGTTCCTCTTCGAGAATATGTAGTACGCAGCCAAGTCGACGCTCTTGACGGGCGACATCGGCTTGGCTGACTCAGTGCTAGTTCCCTGCAATGTCTTCGTGCTCAGTCGTTTTTCCTTCACGAGTTCGCAGCTGTCACCCGAGGTACTGCGGAGTGTGACCGTACTGGAATTGCTCATTGGAGCCATCTCTCCAGTCGCTGAGTTCGTACTATTGCTACTTGAAGTGCTACGCGTCCGTGACCGATACAAAGAGTCGCGGGCGGTTGGTGTATCACCGCGTGCCAATGACTGACGCGACGTTTCCACTGGCATCTATCTGTTCCCGTTGTTCGCTCTTCCAGTTGGAGAATGAAGAGACCATTCCGACGTCGTTTTGCAGCGCTGGACGATCCCCTTCACCCGGTCGCACTCGTCGGCACAGCAGTCAATCGAACGGACGTCCGTTGCGTTGTTGAACGTAACGTAACGGCAGTTTTCGAACCTAACGGGACGATATTCCAACTCAGAAACGCAAATGGTTGGCAGCGTCTCGCGCGTCGCGACAATGGCGGCACGTTACACGAAAGGCCGCGGAAAAACCGCCTCTGCGTCTCCCCAGTGGCTCCACACCACGCGAGCGACGGCTCTGTATCATGCAACCGCTAAGTGCTTGAAGACGCGGCAGTTTCGAAGCCGATTGGGTCCCTTGTTGTCGACACTTGGGATAGCGACGACAGCGCTTGCTGTAACGGCGCTCGAGATCGTCGATGGAGACGCTGCGACACGCTTAGAAGCTCACCAGCTGTCGGACGATCGAACAGCTGTGGCTCGTTGGGCTGGAGAGCGAGAGAAGGCGTGCACGGGTCGGAAGGAAGGCCGACGTCCGCTGCTCAAGCAGCGCCGCAAACACCAGACCGAGAGCCAGCAGCAGAAGGAGTTCAAGATGCACTTGGACGAGTATAAACAGATTCGAGAAGCTCTTGAATCGCTCCGCTCGAGGTTTGATATGTACGCGAGCAGGAGCGTGGAGGTGGACGACGGTCGGTGCGTCAGAGCCATGACGTTCACTGACTTTTTGCACTCGTTGGTGCTGACGCAGTTTCACGTTCACTCGCCTGTACGACTGAGGACGCAGTTGGACTCGCTCGAGTTGTTGTGGGTAGCTTTTCGGAACATATTGATTGATGGCTGCTGTTATGTATGCGATAGCAACCGGATCTGGTGTACTCGTGCGACTTCGTGGGGAATACCGACGGACTGATTGTGTACGAGGAGTGGTGCTTGCTCATTCACTTGCTGCAGAGTGAGACGCCTTGTTGCTTTTAATTTGTTGTTGCAGCAAAGGAATTTGTTGTGTTGACTTGCTTTTGGCTGCACTCGTTACGTTGTACCCAGTTCCGAAGAATCATTTTGATGTGGCATTTTGCATGTTTGATCTGGATGGCGATGGGTCAGTAAACAAGACGGAGTTCTGTGCTGTACTAAAGCATCTGCTGCGAGCTAGCAACGATATTGGTGGGGGTGGAGAGAAGATGCCGATATCTGTCGATAACGCTTTGCCACGTTTGACCACATTCTTGTTCGGACAATACAAGAAAAAGGTCATAGCCAAGGATCTCGCGGAAGCACTGGATGTACTGCGCAAAAAAGTGTTAAGGGCCGAGTTCGATCTGTCTGCGACGCGCGATCCCCTGGCAAAACAACAGACCATGAGTGTGCGTGACTTCGCTCTTACACTGATCTCGCACCTTGATCCGGATCAACTTCCGCCATTTCTGGAGCGTGTGCAAGCACTGAATGCCAGTCACGTACGTTGTGGCGAACATTGACACAACAGTATGCTCTGGGCCTTATTTTTTCATGGTACATCGGATGGAGAATTCAGGCCGTGGTAGCGTGGGCTGAGTTTTGCGCGTTTCACTTCACTGTACGGAACTACCTGCCCGATATCAAACTTGCTTTTGAGGTCACGAAAGCCCAGGTAATTACTGAAGGTACGAGTCGTCATCATTTTCGATGCACAGGGATCCGCTTGGCTGATCTTTGAAACCTAACTGCAGCGGATTTCATTCGAGCGGCGCACATCGTGAGCGGTGTCGAATTGTCATTCCCCGTCGTGCAGCTTGCATTCCACATACTCCACAGCGGTAGAGTCATGTTTTGGGACTGTGGAAACGGTGACGATAGCTAACTTGAATTGATTTTGCCAACTTGCAGCCGATGGAGCATTGGATCGGTCAGAGCTATTCAAGGCGCTGGAGATGCGCAACACCGTGCAGCTTACAGAGGTGCAATGTTTCGAAGCTCGACCAACATGTATGATACATTATTGACCTTACGTGTGTGTTGCAGAATTCGAACCCACGGTCACGATTAGAAAAACTGTGGCATTGTGTTCTCAGCGACGACAGTCGTTGATTGTCTATTGGTCGCATCACTGAGAATGTAAAATTTGAGCCTGCGTTTAAGTCAAGCTGCATGGTTTCAGCTATGAAAATGACGTACTTCTTGAAACGTGGTGAGTATTATCAAGCAAACAACAACTGATGAATCTGAAAGGTCTGCCGTGGCTATTTGTACCTGTATTGTCGAGGGATTTTTAGCGACCAACATTTTCGAAGCCTTCATCGATCACGACTGCAACAGTCGGTCCTTGACAAGTTCAGGGCGGTTCATTTAGAGCTGCCGCGGATGCCTGATTGCAATAGTCATTTGCCGTGCGATGTGCTTTAAACGTCCAGCGAATTCACACTAACGCGCGTTATGAAGTTCAGTACATTCACACCTACACCTTCAGCCCGTGACATTTTAAAACGTTGTGTTAAACAACACGTCAGCCTCCTGTCGATTCTTCCGACCTCTGCTGTTACCCTACGCTCGTCGACGCGGTCGCTTTGCTCTAGCTTTATCGCACTGCTGTTACACCTACCGGGCATTGTCATAATACCCACGCGTCCCACAAGTTCGGGCACAAGTCAAGCCCCCTATTTTCTGGAAAAACATGCACATTCATTTGACATCAGCAAGTCCTAACTAGATAAAGCTGCCACGTACCCCATAAATACCAGGCAGCACCGAGCGAGCCACCACGCTATCGCGTAGCCTCCTTCCCAACACTCTCTTCTATATCTGAAAGGCTCACTTTGGTCAAGAATCGGTCCACCTGCACGACTGTCACCTTCTTGCTGCCATGCGTAACGGCAACTTCTTCTTCAACTTTTCTTTTCTGACCGCTGCCAATTGTCGCTTCTTCCTCGCGTCTAATTATTTCAGTCGCATTCTGGCGCACGGCTGTCGGGGAAACGATGACAACGTCGTCGAGTGCATCTTGCTCCACTTCCTCATGACCCTCTCCGGTCGACCCGGCCCCAACCTCCGTCTTCTCCCTGCCTGCTTTCTCAGCTGCAGCGTCCTCAATCGTAAGCTTACCCGCTTCATCCCGGGAGATGGTCGTGACCTTGTTGCCTTTCGACGTGGCTGCCCGCTTGATAGTGATTTCGTCGCCGTTCTCTGTCGTGATCGTGGTCATCCGCACATCTGCCGCCTCAGGGTCTTGAGTTTGCAAAGGCTTAGTCACGTTCCGGTCCAACGCGTCGCTGGTCGCGACATTCTCGGTACGTCGCACAGCGTCCTCGGCCACCGTGAAGCCGTCGCGAAAGGTGCGAGTGGATGGCGCAGCACTATCGTGTCGTAGCATGAATCCGGACAGCAGCAGAAGCGCGCCGATTAGCACTAGCAAGAAAAACAGACGCTCGCGGGAAGCGTCGCGCCGCATGCGGTTCGTTCGTACAGCCAGGAAGTCGTCTGTGGTCGGAATGAACCGCTGGTCTCTACCCCGGCTGATTCCAAGTGGAATATAAACCGGACTCAGAATGACTTGGTTCATTTATGCAAATTGTGACGACCCTATCGCAGTGTTTCTGTGCTACACTACCATTCGACAAGTACACAAACAATTAGTTTCTTAGCTCGGCAGCTGAAAGCGACGTTCGAAGTCATCCGTTTAATTTGAAAAATGTTTTCGCCGATGCACTGCTTACCATACCCTTCGGCCGTGCTGCAACCGCTGGTATTGCCTTCACAACAGGCGATCAGTATCAAGGCTCATGGATATATGAGTAAAAGACAAGTGTCCAATCATGTAGATGCCACTGGTATGGTACGTTACGTCGTCGCGAAGCGGTAATGACAGTCAGTATCGCTAGCAAAATTCTATGTCCAGCTCGGATGACATGTCCGTGAAATCCAACTAGTGCTATTCGTTGTGCTTACATTGCAAAATGCAGCAACTTCGTTACGAGTTCTATCGACGGAAATGCAAGATGGTGAGAGTGTGTTGAAGTTCGGCCGACCTGTAACGGGGTAGCTTGTAACATGATATTGACACAAACGGTGTCAAAAGGGAGATTGTCTAGCGAGACAATTTACTGCCAATATCCGAGATAAATAATATTGAACGAACATTATCCCCTTGTAAAATAATACTCATGCGCTGCTCAAAGATTGGTTGATAAAAGATATATCAACCATAGATTACCACCAATCGCTGCTAGACGCGCGCAATGAGAGGTCAGTTCTTGCTGTTGTTGTTGTCGACTGTACTTTTTAGCTATTGCGTGCTTTGCCCGTGTGTATGTGTTGCAGCGCGAGGAGTATGACAGTCCAAGAAATAACAACATGACGACTGGTGCACACCCATGCCCAATCGTTAGCAGAAGTAGCAGAAGGTCAGTTCTTGCTGTTGTTGTCAACAACCTGACATACGACGACGTAGTTTAATATAGTTAGATAAAGATTAAAGTTACATTGATAGCTTAACTACATCAAATACAATTCTATTTTTACCCTTTACTCAACATAGCTGTTGAGTAGATTAGATTCCTCTGCACGTACTAGTGTACGTGAAGTTTCGCGGCACCCCAAACAAAGGGTGCCCCGTTACAACTGGTAGCACTTCGTAGTCTGTCCAACGACTGCTCAGTGTCCGTCCAACACGAACATGCTGGATGTAGAAGACGACAGCTTTCACGTCCCACGTGAAGGCTACTTTCTATGAGCGACTCAAAATGGGAGGTAGTCGGCCGCATGAGTGTGCTTATGGGCGAACCCGCCATCAGTGGCATGTTGGAGTCTCTAAACAGAGACCAGCAACATGCTGCTATCAACAAGTTCCTACAATGGGAACTTGCCGTCGAAAGAGAGAAGATAGCCTTACTACAACAGCAAGGATCTCATCAGTCGATAAGCGGGCCGATGCACATACGTCGACCCGAAACCTTAAAGATTGACATCTCAAGGTATAAGTGAACCGATGAAGATTCCCTTTTGAGATAATTTGTTGAGTTAGACGACGCCATCAGGGCCCGTCACATCGAGGTTGACGAGATGCAAGTCACTTTCTCCCTGTCAAATTTGACGGGACGAGCAAAGACTTGGGCCTTAGGGCTCAACCTTCACGACCCAAACGTGTTTTAGTCATTGGAGATCTTGAAATCTCGGCTTAAAGAGACGTTTGAGCCGCCGAGAGCCGAGTCCAGAGCACGCTCTGCACTCTTGAGGGTCAAGCAGGGTAAACGTGACGTGCACGCTTACGCACAGCACCTGCGCTACCTTGCGAGTAGCTTTACGGAGAACCCTGTTGATGAGCACACGCTCATCAAATGTTCATCTACGGCCTTGTGGATGGGCCGGTGAAGACCTACATGTTCCGAGAGGACTTCCATACGCTGGAAAGGGCGATAGCGTATGCGGAACAAGAAGACTTCAGCCTGAGACAGTCTCAGGCTAACTCGTCCAACTATCATCCGACGAGGCGACCAAAAACAGGAAGTCACGAACCTATGGACTTCTAGTATATCGAGAGCAAGAACTCTCGCTCTCTGAGTCACAAGCGAACGGCAAGATGCCATCGCTGTCAGAAGATTGGGCACTACGCTCAGGAGTGTAGTGTCCCAAGTACCGCAATGCGTCCAAAGACAAGACGTGATGACCGCCGTTGGCCAAGGAAAGGTCCAAGGCGTGGGTTCGACCATGTCGCTAAGCCGCGACAGCAAGTCGGACCGCCAAAGAACGGACAAGGTCAGTAGGGGCGGAGCACCCTGCTGATCCAGCAACCTCAAGAGAATTCGCAGGACCCTTGACGAAGATTGCTCCCAACACACAGGCGCTCTGTGTTACTGCCCCTAGTGATTAGGTGTCCCTCATCACTTTGAAGATTGAAGTGACACGTGGAATATCACTTCGCGCCCTAAATGACTGTGGGGCGTCGAACAGTTTTATTCGACGCCAGTCGCTAGGGGATAGTAGGCTCGACTTTGTTGAGCGAGAGTTCCCTCCAACGAGGATGACGGTGTGCCTTTCTACAGGCGCATCCGTAACAGTGAACAAACGTGTAGTAGAAATCCACTACACGCTGGAAGGGAAGCAGTACGATAATAACTTCATCGTACTGGATTTGGATGAAAATTTAATGATACCCTCAGTCTGCAATGGCTTAGCAGGCACCGGCCATGGGTTAGCTGGCAGCATCGATCCGTGAAATGCCTGCCGTTTTCTCGTCAGATGGCCATATGATGAACGTCTTGGAGTGTCGACAAGCGTGTGGATGTACTACAAGTTAGTGAGATGGCCTCACTTGTAGTACGGTCGTTAGTACGATTGCACAAGATTACAGTGTAGAAGGCCACTACACTGTGGAACCAGCTTCCGGCACCTGTGTAGAGACACAGGCTGCGCCGAAGGTTCACCACTCGAAGAGATCGAGTGGATTGGAACACGTATGCACACCAAGAAGGGTGCATCCAAGTAGAAAGATGCGTGTTGTTCAGGATGAACAACACGTTGAAGCGAGATCGACTCACAGAGAGTCGATCGTAGAGCAAGCCCGCTCGACTAAAAGAGAGTCGGTCGAAGAGGACGTGACCGTGATAGTGCACGTAATAGAAGAAAATTCCAGCATTCCTGAGAAAGATAACTCCCGAGATGGTTATGTTGAGGGTATGGATCCCCAACCATCTGCGGATGTGTTTCCCAGGAAATTACCGAGACAGTGAATGTCTTGTTAAATGAAGGATCAAGTGTAGGCGCTTATACACTTGATCTGGTGACGCCCCCGAAGTCAGCTTCGGAGGTGGTCAAGTTGCCAACGCTAGAATTTAACAGATTCTTGCGAGAGATGCGTAGTGACAAGATCAAGCAGATCTGCGTACTCGTCACAGAGGACGAGTACGTCGCCGATATTCGGCCGGCACAAGTGTTTGATGAGAGCGAACGGGTTCTCAGTAGCTCATCGATGGATGAGAGTGTCCGCGAAAAGAAGACCCGGATTGAGCGATACACGTCTCAATCTTGGGAGTCTTTGAAGACGAATCCTTTGTATAAGGATTTGGTTGAGTTCAGGGATGTTTTCCCGGAATCCGTGCCATGCGAGCTGCCAAAGGACAAAGGCACTCTCGGCATGAGATCGAGCTGAAACCCGGTTTGATATACTTTGTCATGAAGCAGTGGCCACTGCCTCGTGAACAAGTACTTGCGATCGACAAGTTCTTTGCCGATCGCTTAGCTGCGGGCCATGTGAGGAAATCAACTTCCCCACATAGCTCTCCGACTTTCTCTGTGCGAAAAGCCACAGGAGGATGGCGGATATTGCACGCGTTCAACAAACTGAACGCTGCAACGGTACCGTCTCGGACGCCGATACCAAGGAAGGACGTCATCATAGATGGTACGGCAAAGAGTACCATCTTTTCGTCCATGGATCTGATCGATGGATTCTATCAACTTCTCATGCGTGAACGCGGTATCCCGTACAAGGCAGTGAGCTCCCCCAGTGGTATTCTCTGGATGTGACTAATGATGCCACAGGGGCTAAGCAACGCCCCTGAAACGTTCAAAAGATGTGTTACGAATCTATTGCGATCGGTGCGCGATTTTGCACCGAATTACTTTGACGATGTCTTCGTCCATATCCGGGCTATGCATGGAAAGGCGGACGTGAAGGTTCATAGAATCCACATCCGGAAGGTTCTTACTCTAATGCGAGAGCATAAGTTGTTCGCGAACCTCAAGAAGTGTATAACCGCAGCGAACGAAATACCAATTCGTGGCTGCATCGTGGGTAAAATGCTGTACGCCCTGATCCGGAAAGATCAAGGCGATTAGCAACTGGCATGTGCCAGTCGAAGTCAAGGGAATTTGAAATTTCTTTGGCTTGGCGGCGTACTAGCACAAGTAATCGCGCAGCTACGCTGATATGAACGTACATCTCTCTCGTTTGTTGAAGGAAAATGAGAGGTGGTCATGGAGTGCTGAGTGTCAGCACTCCTTTGAAGGTATCAAGTAAAGCTTGATACTATCGCCTGTGTTGGCGATTGCAGACCAGGACAGACCATTCCATGCGGTCTGTGACGCCAGCGATTTTGCAATCGGCTGTGCGTTAATTCAGTACGACTCAGACGGCGTTGAGCGTGTCGTCTGTTACCGATCGAATCAGCTGCAAGCAGCTAAGCGTAACTACCTGGCGCATGACAAGGAAATCCTTGCCATGAAATATGCACTGGCTAAGTTTTGGGTATGTCTCTTAGTAGAATGGCCCTTCATCGTTTATACCGACCATGCGTCGTTACGCACGGCCGTAAACAGTCCACACCTCTTGCAACGAATGGCGAGGTGGATGTCTTTCTTCGCGGAGTACAACTTCTCCGTCGAGTATAAACCAGGATGACTTAATGTCGTCGCTGATGATCTTTCGCGCCGGAATGATGTCGAGCCGACCGCTCTATCTAACAGTAGGGGTGATCCGACTGTTGCAACACTATCAGTGAAAGATCCGTCGTCGAATATGCTTGACGACGTGCGGAAAGCATTCGCAGAAGATTAGGCTCTTCTGCGATTGATGGATTACGAGTCAAATCCATGCAGTCAAGCTTTGAAAAGCTTGACGTCTCAAAACCAATCTTCAATCGAACGGTGTTCTGTTCGTGATGGACTGCTGTAATATACAGCAGTCAACGGCGACACACCTCGTGTCGTCATTCCCGCTCATGATGACTTGCGATTGCGCATCATTTGTGGGTGTCACGATGCCCCAAAAAGTGGGCATCACGGTAGGGAAAAGACTTACCTCACGGTGAGTCGTGACTTCTACTGGCATCGCCAGTATGAGTTTGTTCGCAAATAAATTCGCGCTTGCGAAGTTTGTCAACGGGTGAAGCCTAGTCCTTCACCCCGCGCACCCTTGCAGCCTCTACCGATTCCGGCAGAGTGCTGGCAGTCCTTATTGATGTATTTCGTCTTCGGATCCCAAAGAAGCTCACAAGAATACTGGTGTTCTTGTGTTTATTGATCGGTTCAGCAAGTGATACATCTTGTTGCTGTACCGGAGTCAATCACAGCACAGGGCTGTGCTCGTGTCTTCATCGATACTATCTTCCGACTTCACGGTTTACCCCGTGAACTCGTGTCTGATAGGGACCCCCGCTTCACAGCAAAGTTTTTGCAATCCGTGTTCCGTTTACTTGGAACACGGTTGACGATGTCAACTTCTGAACATCCAGAAACAGGTGGCCGGACGGAACGCGTCAACCTCGTCCTCGAAGAGATACTTCGAGGGTACGTCCACTCGTTTACGAGTTGGAGTGAACTCTTGCCGATGGCGGGATTCGCCATCAACAACTCGGTGAATGCGTCGACAACGCACACACCGTTCTTCGTGAATGGCCTACGCCACCCACGTCTGCCCGACTTCTTACAGTGTGATTTAGTGTAAGGGGGGGGTGGACTCGCTCGAACAAAAAAGGGATCTGGTTCTTGCTCACCACACGTCATCAATGGTGTTGACGTGATAGATGCCGATCACATCGACATCGATGATGATGATGACGACGGTGATTGTAGCGGAGCTGCACAGCTCCTTAAGTCAGAGGAAGACTTAACGCTCTACGAGCAACTTAGTTCCAAAGAACTAACGACTTTACGAGTCAACAAGCTTTACAGCTTCAGATCCCTGTTCCAGGGGACCTAACGATTCAGTGAATCGACAGCACTCAGTGCTCAAGAGTAGCTACCCCAAGGAGGTGTTGCTAACTCTTTCTGATCAGTGATCAACGATCAAGACGGCTCGCAAGCCACGTGTCCTTTAGATCAAAACGGGAACTGAATTTATTTTTGTTAACGCTTATAGAACATCGTAATCCTACTCAAAGATCTTTCGTATCTAATGGCTGACACTCGTCAGCCCCTACAAACCAATAAGATATTCTATATCACCTTCACAAAGGGGTAACCTCAGGTGTATAACACCTCTGGTACAAAGTACCATAATTTCGTGCAACTCCGTTACACCCTCCCCACCAGACTGACGCTTGCCAAAACTTCAATCGAACTTGTGTTCTCAGCGAGAACAGTGCGCATGCGGTGAACATCACGGTAACGTACGCTCTAGCACGATGTCCTCACCACCAAACGAGTCAAAGGATCTGTGTGACTACCTCGAAATAGAGGAGGAGGTGGACTATGATAGCGATACCAGTGTCCGCGGTGATACAGGGATAATGTCCGGCTCACTGATGCCTGTGGTACAACCTTCGGACACCCCAAATCCGTTCACTGAACGTGGAGATGCGAGCGCGCCACCAGCGCAGCATGCAGCATCTGGGTCTGATGAGACTATCATCACGAACCCGCTCGATGAGCAACAACAATTGCTTGTCCAAAGAGAAGAAAACGCTCAGCGTTATGTACAAATGGCTGCAACCCTTGAACGCCAGCGTGACTATGTGTTCACTTCACCCAGTGTGGAGGAACGTCTACGTCAAGCGGCCGGCCAAACATTGGCAACGTGGGTCATTGGCCATGGACCTAAGACTCCTGAGGAGGTGGTGAGCTGCCAGGCACTTCGTGAGAGGTACCTGGAGCCGCACCTAACGACTCAAAGTCAATACAAGGCAAGCCTTGACATGCAAGCGCGTGGTACACCGGTTCCGCCGATCAAGGGTATACCCATTCTCTTGCTCGCAGGCGAAACGGTGAGCGAAGAAGACGATGCCTTCGTTCACTGGGTGCACTATGTGCGTCGCCTCAGCAACATTTTTGCTCTAAGGGCTAGTGCCCATGCGGCTGATGTGCGTCTCGAACGCAATCTTCGGTACGATTATGCCAAGCTTAAGGCCAGAGGCCAATTGCGCAAGCGCACGCGCTATGCTTCGGCTACTAAGGTAGCCGCGAGTGCTGGTCAGTCTGTGGCCAACAACCCGCCAACCCGCACCACTAGTGGTGGGGAACGGCCTCGGTTTCGAGATGACCATGGCCACGATGTTTAAAAGCCTCCAAAGCATATGGGCAGTCTTGCCGAAGGGGTACTTCAAATTCCCATGAGTTTTCAGACTCAGGGTACCCATGCCACTTTACCAGATACCTACATCGTCCCCGACGACGACGTCGTTTCAGTAGTCTTTCGACATGAAATTGACGACACACATGCTCATCGAGCAAAGTCGGTGGCGGCCGGTGTACCGGTGGAGGCCCACGAGAAATTAATTCTCGAAGTGAAGGGTCTTTAAGAGGCCGTGGGTAAGTCTCAGCGCATGATGGATGCGATGCAAAGCCGCCTTCAGGCGATGGAGCAAGCTCAAACTCGGAGCGAGGCTCATTTGGACTTGCTGATTCGCCTACAGCAATCCGGGGCAGTGCCCTTGTCGTCGGCGCAAGCGCTCCAAGTTCACATGGGAAGGATCCCGGTACGGCTTAAGTAAGCCTACGTAGAACACTGGATGTGTGCGCAATTTGCGCGGAAGGTTTAGCGTATACGCAAGTCCCTTCTTGGCCGTGACCGTAAACGGTCCAATAAAGCGTGGACGCAACTTAGTCTTAAAGAAAGCAGACACTACATTTGTAGGTAGATTTTTAGCATTGAGTAGTACTTGGTCTCCGACCTCACAACGTTCAATACAATTTCTGCCTTTCGCATCAGCTTGTTGTTTTTGGATATCTTGGCTATCAGCCATTGCGTCACGCACACGTCGTAAGACATTTAATTGCGTTGCGAGAAACTCGCCTACCTGTTTTTGAACAGTAGCAGGGCTGATATCAGCAAGCCGATCGGCAACCTCTCCCTCACCATGCCCTGAATCACGTAGTGATAGCGTTAACGGAACGCGAGGGTGAGTGAGACCGTTTATGTAGAACGGAGTAAAGCCTGTTGAGGCATGCACAGCGTTATTCAACGCAAACTCAACAACAGGGAGCATGGAGCTCCAAAGAGTAGCCGTATCATCACAAACACTGCGCAAAATGTCATTGATGACGCGGTTAACACGCTCAATTTGACCGTCGGTCTGCGGATGATCCGCTGTGGACATGTCCAACCGAGTGCCAAGCACCTTGAAGATAGACTTCCAAAATTTCCCAGTGAAGCGGGGGTCTCTATCAGAGATAATTGCCACCGGCAAGCCATGTTGGCGAAACACACGGTCGATGAACAGATTTGCTGTACCTTCAGCATCGATGCTATCCGGCACAGCCGCTAAGTGAGCCATCTTGCTTAATTGGTCAACAAAGACCACAATACCAGTGTTGCCTTCCAAATCTTTCGGCAGGCCAACCACAAAATCCATGCTGATGGACCCCCAACAACCAGTGGGTACTGGCAAACTAGCCAGCGGCGACTCCGCATGTCTCGAGGGTTTAACCCGTTGACACGGCTCGCACGTACGCACTTAGGTGCGCACCCACATATAAAGTTTGGGCCACCAATAACTTTGGCTCACCGAGCTATAAGTCTTCTCACGACCGAGATGACCACTTAAAGCAGTATCATGTGCCTCATAGAGGATCCGATACTTTAATTCCTC